GTGTGTGTGTGTGTGTGTGCGCGCGCGCGCGCTTGCGTATAACTTCCATTGTTATAACTCTCTATATTTGTTATAAAACTGCAGTGACATCATGTACACAATTGGCATAAATGCCAAACTTTTCTGTAGTCCTGTAGAATTGTGACAGGGGATTCCTTGTTTGCTCAAGGGACCTGGTGCTTCCTACTATCCTAGAAATAAATGTCCAATAATAACTGGACTTCAAGGTTGCATCTCAAAGCTAACAAAAAACTTAGAAGCTTTTCTGCCTGTCCCTAAGCCCTGTGTTGGTTAGTAATTTGATGGTTAAGCCTTGAATTTTCAGCTGGAGGGCTACAGAAGGACCAAGTAATATTTTTAATAATACTAAATGTTTAACTGGCTCTTTCTTAAAAACAAATGCATAGAGGGTATTGGACGGAATAAACTTTATTGGCACTTGCTTTGATTGTCCTACATAATGTCTTTGGCTTTGCAACTGAATAAGAAAGTGGCATCCATGAAAAGCTTCAACTTAAAATCCCATATCCCTTCATATAAATAAGCAAGAAACCTTGAGGCATGTGTGGCTATTACCTGTTTTTGTTTTGTTTTTTTCTGAGGCCCCTCCTTCCCCCTCTACCAGTTAATCTTCTTTCTGTAACCTGGTTTAAACTTCAGTACACAGTACTTGAAGAAAAAAAATATTATAACTTGTACCCATGAAAGCTTGGAAGTTCTCAATAATAGTGAACACTAGTGTTCAAGCATTGTCAGACTTGCCTATCAGAAATGTGTACTGCTCTCTTGCTTACAAGAACACGGCCAGTTTTGTGTTACCACGTGTTTATAGTGCACCAATTGCAGTAATCTCTGAAGCATTTTGGGCATTTCTGACAGCAAAAAACACTACTTATATTTTTGCAGCTGGGAGGGAGGAAGAGATGGGGAAGCTTGAATTTGTCAACAGTGTGTAACATCTTAAATTTTATGGTACGTCTGCATGGGATATGGCTTCACTACTTGAATGGCCTTTTACAGTGCCAAATTGCAGTGCTAATATAAGAACAAGATAGTTTTAAACTGCCAAGTTTCCTGTTTAAAAACAAAGATAGGATGCTAAGTTATTATACAAGAGCAGCATTTTTAGACTGGTTTACCAGTTAAACTTGTAAACCAGTTCCAGTAAGTCACAAGTGTTCTCTTCAACATCTTTATCAACAATGTGGATACTGGTGTCAGAAGTGGACTAGCCCAGTTTGCCAATGACACTAATCTTTGGGGTGGAGTGTCCACACCTGAGGATGGGCTGGTGATCCAGGCTGACTTGGATAGGCTCAAAAAGTGGGCAGATACAATCCTGATGACATTCCATACTGACAAATGCAAGGTGGTACTCCAACTTGGAAGGGGTGAGGGGGGGAAACCCGCAGCATGCTTATAGGCTTGGCAGTGCTACTCTTACTAGCACCATGGCCAAAAGACTTGGGGGTCATGATTGGCCCCAAGAAGAACATGAGCCGCCAATGCAGTATTGCAGCTGGTAAAGCAAACCAAACTCTGGCTTGTATCAGTAGATGCTTCTTGGGTAAATCCCGGGATATCGTCCTCCCACTGTACTTGGCCTTGGTGAGGCTGCAGCTGGAGTACTGCATCCAATTCTGGGCCCCACAATTCAAGAAGTATGTGGAGAAGCTTGAGAGGGTCCAGAGGAGAGCCATGCGCATGATCAGAGGACAAGAGAATAGGCGTTATGAAGAGAGGTTGAGTCATGTGACTTCAGCCTGGAAAAGCACAGGTTATAGGGTGCCCTGATGGCAGCCTTTAAGTATATCAGGGCATGCATCAGGATCTGGGGGAATGCCTGTTCACCAGAGCGCCCCAAGGGATGACAAGGTCCAACGTTCACAAACTCCTCCATGACCATTTTAGGCTGGACATAAGGGAAAAACTTCTTACTGTCCAAGTCCTGGAATAGACACCCTCTAGAGGTGGTGCAAGCACCTACTCTAGACACTTTCAAGAAACATTCAGATGCTTGTCTTGCTGGGATCCTTTGACCCTAGCTGACTTCCTGCCCCTGGGTTAGGGAGCTGGACTCAATATTCCAAGGTCCCTTCCAGCCCTACTGTCTATGAAATCTGCACTTTTTTTACCCAATTTAAAATGAAATGCCACCATGTATAGGTATCAATTGATAACAATGTTTTATTGATATATTTGCAAGCTTAAAGCAATTTCATAGCCTACCAGTGCCTCAGTCTTTAAGTTTTTAAATACCTGTATA